ATTAAGATATTCAGAAACAAAGTGTCTATTAATAACTAAAAACTTAATATAATGTTGGAATATTAAGATATTCAGAAAATAGTTTCAAGGAGGGCCCTGTTATGTCTCATTTTTCCTTATTTTTCAAAGATTTTAATATTATATTGTCAGAACAAAGTGTCTGTTAATAACCAAAAACTTAATATAATGTTGGAATATTAAGATATTCAGAAACAAAGTGTCTGTTAATAACTAAAAACTTAATATAATGTTGGAATATTAAGATATTCAGGAAATAGTTGTAAGGAGGGTTCTGTTACATATGAAATTATTAGAAAATTAATTTCCTTTTCCTTGTGTTTACAATATGTCATGCAAGATAGAAAAATTGAATAATATCGACATTTCTTTCCTTCATCTCATTATAATTGCATGAAATAAAAGTAAATAATATTTAAGTAAAAAAATTTATTACAAATAATTTTGATGGAATCAATTCCTATAAATATTAAAAGAAATAAATAAATAAAAGTTAGAGATTAAGTTCCAATGAAATAATAATACTAGTTATCAGATTACTCATCCTATGTAAGTTTATCGTGCACGCTTGTGCTGTGTGAAATGTTATTGACTCAGGCCAAGCCCATAGGACGCACTGTTTATTACTATTCGGAACGGAGAAATGAATCGATATTCCCGCTTCGAGACACTGAAACATTTCCGCCCATTATGTGTTGTACTTGTTAGGGATATTTTGATCCATACACAAATCGCTATTCTCCGATGAAGCCTATCCTTTCGGGATACGAACGATTTAAATCAACCTTTTTCATAGATGACTCACCTGTACTACCTGAGTTGAAGTTCAATCATCGGCGCGTAGAATGTTAAGCAATGAATTATTTCGTCGTTTAATAATGTAATGAATGCATTTTTCCATTCACAAAAAAAAAAAAAAAAAAAACAAAACTAAAATGGCAAATTCGTAAAATTTCTCCTCGCGAAATGACGAAATATTTATGACGTTTTCTATAATTATTGACATTGTCTATTGAGAATGTGGAGAAAATCCTTGAAAATTGAAGGAACATATCATTCTCAATGGAATTGATATAATATAGAAATTACGTGAAATATGTAATTTTCAATCATTCTGTAATTTCCAAAAAAAAAAAAAAAAAAAAAATTTCACTCAGTATAATTTCAGAAAAATAATTGCAAGTGATTAAATTGGAACAATCTAATTTTAAGAAAGAAAGAAATTGAAACGAAAACTTTGTTTTCTATATTCTAGATTTTTTATGCTATGTTAACTTTAAATTTTAATCTTTATTCATTTGTGAGTTGATTATATAAATTCATTTAAAAGTAAACGCAAATGATATTCAATTAAATGTTTTATTTTCAACTTTCAAGTTTTGATAATATTGATACAAATGCAATAAAAGAATTATTTATTTAGTTACCTAGTTAAATGAATATTAAAATGATTTAATATTTAAACGATTTCAGAGGAATTTATTTTGGAGGATCCAAAGCATTATCCATTCCTCTCTAATGGCGCACTACCAGTTCCAGGAGTGGACGATTCAGCTGAATTTTTCTCAACCGTGAAATCCATGCATATCATGGGCATGACAAATGAAGATTTTTCATCGATCTTTCGTATCGTGTCCGCGGTAATGCTCTTTGGTTCTATGCAATTCCGTCAAGAAAGAAACTCTGATCAAGCCACGTTACCGGATAATACTGTAGCTCAAAAGATTTCCCATTTATTGGGCTTGAGTGTAACAGAAATGACGAAAGCGTTTTTAAAACCAAGAATTAAAGTGGGTAGAGACTTCGTAACGAAAGCACAAACAAAGGAGCAAGTTGAATTTGCAGTGGAAGCAATTTCAAAAGCTTGTTATGAGAGAATGTTCAGATGGCTTGTGAACAGAATCAATCGATCGTTGGATCGAACTAAAAGACAAGGAGCAAGTTTTATCGGTATTTTGGATATGGCTGGTTTTGAAATATTTGAATTGAACAGCTTTGAACAGTTATGTATTAATTATACTAATGAGAAATTACAACAATTATTCAATCATACCATGTTTATTTTGGAACAAGAAGAATATCAAAGAGAAGGAATTGAGTGGAAGTTTATTGATTTTGGATTAGATTTGCAACCAACTATTGATTTGATCGATAAACCTATGGGTACGTTCAAAGATAAATATTTTTCTTATAAATTTCTGAAATTGAAGTTTTTTTCAATTATTTGCTATAGTACACTTAATCTTTTATTCTTTAATATAATTTAGTTATTTGGTATTCATGTATATACATACATTATACATTTCAAATTTTCTTCCTTAAGTTACTTGATGTAAAGTAAAAAACTAATGGAATTATATAATACAAATGTAATACATTCTAATATTATTTTGTCTATGTTTTAGAACACGATACAATATTTCTATTAAAAGTTTTTTCGTTACTTTTAAATTATATTTATTATTTATTGATAATCTTTCTTTAATAATTTTAAAAAATTTTATTTCAAAACAGGCATCATGGCTTTATTGGATGAAGAATGTTGGTTCCCTAAAGCAACAGATAAAACATTTGTTGAAAAATTGGTAGGTGCTCATAGTGTGCATCCAAAATTCATGAAAACGGATTTTAGAGGTGTAGCAGATTTTGCAATTATACATTATGCTGGAAAAGTTGATTATTCAGCTGCTAAATGGTTGATGAAGAACATGGATCCCTTGAATGAAAATGTTGTTAGCCTTTTACAAAACTCACAAGATCCTTTTGTATGTCATATTTGGAAGGATGCAGAAATTGTTGGAATGGCTCAACAAGCATTAACTGATACACAGTTTGGTGCAAGAACAAGAAAAGGCATGTTTAGGACCGTTTCTCAATTGTATAAAGAACAGTTGGCAAAATTAATGGTTACTCTCAGAAATACAAATCCCAATTTTGTAAGATGCATCATACCGAATCATGAGAAAAAGGCTGGAAAGATTGATGCACCATTAGTATTAGATCAATTGAGATGTAATGGAGTTTTAGAAGGAATTCGAATTTGTCGACAAGGATTTCCAAATAGAATACCATTTCAAGAATTTAGACAAAGATATGAACTTTTGACACCAAATGCTATCCCCAAAGGGTTCATGGATGGAAAGAAGGCTTGCGAGAAAATGGTAAATGTTATCTCGTTTATATATTATATGTATTTATCAGAAATGATTATCATTAATAATAATAATAATAATTATGAAATACAATATTCAGTGTTAATAAAATATAATTTATAGAATATTGATTGAATTAAATTCAAAATTATATAAATAAGTGTGTAATAATTATATAAATATGTATATATATGTATATATAATTAAAGATCTTTTAATTGTTTTAGAAATTTAAAACATACACAAAATTTGTATTGCAGATTCAAGCCCTTGAACTTGATCCTAATCTCTATCGTGTTGGTCAGTCAAAAATTTTTTTCCGTGCTGGAGTTTTGGCTCATCTTGAAGAAGAACGTGATTATAAAATTACTGATATAATTGTTAATTTTCAAGCATTCTGTCGTGGTTTTCTTGCTCGCAGAAATTATCAAAAACGTTTGCAACAATTAAATGCTATTAGAATTATCCAAAGAAATTGTGCTGCTTATTTAAAACTTCGGAATTGGCAATGGTGGCGTTTATATACGAAGGTAAAACCACTTCTAGAGGTAACAAAACAAGAAGAAAAATTAACTCAAAAAGAAGATGAATTGAAACAAGTAAGGGATAAATTGGAATTGCAATTACATTCTGCGCAAGAATATGAACGGAAGTATCAACAAGCTATGGAAGAAAAAACTATGTTAGCAGAACAGTTACAAGCTGAAGTGGAATTATGTGCAGAAGCAGAAGAGATGCGAGCGAGATTAGCTGCCAGAAAGCAAGAATTAGAAGAAATTCTTCATGATTTGGAAACAAGAATTGAAGAGGAAGAAGAAAGAAGTGCTGGCTTGACTCAAGAAAAAAAGAAATTACAATTAAATATAAGCGATCTTGAAGAGCAATTAGAGGAAGAAGAAGCTGCTAGACAAAAATTACAATTAGAAAAAGTACAATGTGATGCAAAAATTAAAAAACTTGAGGAAGATCTTGCACTTTCTGAGGATACAAATCAAAAATTATTAAAGGAGAAAAAGATTCTTGAAGAAAGAGCAAACGATTTATCTCAAACACTTGCTGAAGAAGAAGAAAAAGCAAAGCATTTGTTGAAATTAAAAACAAAACATGAAGCAACAATTGCAGATCTTGAGGAAAGATTATTAAAAGATCATCAACAAAGACAAGAAGTAGATAGATCTAAACGGAAAATAGAAACTGAAGTGTCAGATTTGAAAGAACAACTTGCAGAAAGAAAGACACAGGTATAATGATTTTTATCATTTTTTCCCTTTTTTTTCTTAAATAAAACAAACTTAGTAGAAAAATAGAAAGTAGAAGTAATTTTAATATATTATATTAAATAAAAATTTTATTCTTAAATAATTTACAGTGTAAAAACAACAATAACAATAATAATAAATTTTTATAGGTAGAAGAACTTCAATTGCAACTTGGTAAACGTGAAGAAGAATTAAATCAAGTAATGGCAAAAATGGATGAAGAAGGTGCGGCTAAAGCTCAAGCTCAAAAGGCTCTTCGTGAATTGGAGTCTCAGTTGGCTGAACTTCAAGAGGATTTAGAAGCTGAGAAAGCTGCTAGAGGAAAAGCAGAAAAATTAAAACGAGACTTAAATGAGGAATTAGAAGCATTGAAAAATGAATTATTAGATTCGTTAGACACAACTGCTGCGCAGCAAGAATTAAGAAGCAAGCGAGAACAGGAATTAGCAACATTAAAGAAAAATTTAGAAGAAGAAACATCGATACACGAGGCAACATTAGCGGACATGCGTCATAAGCATACACAAGAGTTAACTGCTTTGAATGAACAAATGGATGCATTGAAGAAAACTAAAGCTGTTTTAGAAAAGGCAAAGGCAACCTTAGAGGCTGAAAATGCTGACTTAGCTACAGAACTTAGGTCTGTTAGTGCCAGCAGACAAGAATCTGATAGAAGAAGAAAGCAAGCTGAACAACAACTTGCTGAAGTAAATGCAAAACTTGCAGAAGTAGAAAGAAATAGACAGGAATTGGTGGAAAGAGTAACAAAATTACAACAAGAATCTGAGAGTATCATGCAACAATTAGAAGCAGCAGAATTGAAAGCTTCTACAGCTTTGAAAGCTTCAGCAACTTGCGAATCTCAATTTACAGAACTTCAGCAGCAACTTGAAGAGGAAACTAGACAAAAATTGGCTTTAAGTTCGAAATTGAGAGCGTTAGAAAGTGAAAAAGAAAGTCTGCATGATCAATTAGAAGAAGAAGAAGAGGCAAAGAGATGCTTAGATAAACAAGTATGATTTTTAATTTTAATTAACAATTGTTTTAAAAATTAGATAAGCTCAACTAATTTCAATTACACATATATAAACATCATTATTTGTATAAATATTAAATCAAAAACTTTCGTTTAAAAAGTCACAAAAACGAAACCTTCAGTTATCAATTTTATTTTTTTAAAATAGGTTATGGGCTTAACTATACAACTGGCTGAAGCAAAGAAAAAAGCTGAAGAAGAAGCTGAAGCTGCTACAGCATTAGAAGAAGCAAGAAAGAGATGCATGAAAGATATTGAAGCACTTCAAAGACAAGTTGAAGAATTACAAGCTGCTAATGATAAATTAGATAAATCAAAGAAAAAGGTTCAAGCAGAATTAGAAGATAGTATCATTGAACTCGAAGCGCAAAGAGCAAAGGTGCTGGAACTAGAGAAGAAGCAGAAAAATTTCGATAAGGTAACTATAATTTTTGTTTGATAGAAAAATATGGAATTAAAATAATTCTTTCGTATTTTAATTTAATATTAACAATTTTTAGTTTAATAAATTTCAATTTATTAATTTTGCAAAAGTAAACAAATTTTTAATTATATAATTATATATAATATTCATAGTATTGTATTATTAATATTAATTATATAAATTATTAATTATTCTTTAATTCTATATTAATTTTAAATTAATAGAATCATGTTACTTCTTTTTAATTATTAACAATAGTTTGAGGAACTTTCTGTGAGTTTTTCATTTAATTATTAATCATTTTTCATTTAATTACTAATCATAATTAATTATTCATATGTAATGTAGATAATTTGATATTTGACAACAATACGAAGATTATTCATATCGAATCATTTTTCATTTCATTTTATTATAATATCTCATAGATCATTTATTAACACAATTAAATTTTACTTTACATTTTACTTTAGATTTTTGTATATTTATATTATCATTATTATGATTATTAATTACATAATTTATTATAACATTATACTACTATGAAAATATCGTTTCCACAAAAACATTTATTACGTGTGTTAAAGTATACTATACAATCATAAGCATGATTTTTTGCACGCTTCTCAGATTATTCACAGTCCATAAGATGTTAATTACCAGTAATATAACTTCACATTTAGATATAATAAAAATTTAATGAATTTCTAAAGTAATAGTAGAATTACCATTCGATCAATCTAAAAAATTCCTTTTCTTAAATATTACTATGATTTTTAAGGTGCTGGCTGAGGAAAAAGCGGTTTCTGAACAGTATGCAGAACAACGTGATGCTGCCGAACGTGAGGCTCGTGAAAAAGAAACTCGTGTCTTATCCTTAACTCGGGAACTCGACGAAATGAATGAAAAGGTTGAAGAACTTGAACGAATCCGTCGTGGTCTTCAATCGGAACTAGATGAACTTGTAAACAATCAAGGAACAGCGGATAAAAATGTACATGAATTAGAAAAAGCAAAACGTGCTCTTGAGTCCCAATTAGCGGAGCAACGTTCTCAAGTAGAAGAGCTTGAGGATGAATTGCAATTTACAGAAGATGCAAAGTTACGTCTTGAAGTAAATATGCAAGCTCTAAGAGCCCAATTTGAGCGTGACTTGCAAGCTAAAGAAGAACAAGCTGAAGAGAAACGAAGAGGATTGGTGAAACAATTACGCGATCTCGAAGCGGAATTAGAGGATGAAAGAAAGCAAAGAGCTGCTGCTATTGCACAACGTAAAAAGATGGAAGCAGACTATAAAGATATTGAACAGCAATTGGAAATGCACAATAAAGTAAAAGAAGATGCATTGAAACAGTTAAAGAAACTTCAAACTCAGATAAAGGATTCTACTAGGGAAACTGAAGAAGCTAGAGCTGCTAGAGATGAACTTGCAGCAAGTGCTAAAGAAACTGAGAGAAAGGTCAAGAGTTTAGAAGCAGACTTAATGCAATTAACTGAAGATCATGCCAGCAGCGAACGAGCTAGAAGAGCAGCTGAGAATGAAAGAGATGAATTACAGGAAGAACTCAATAACAATGCTAACAAAGGTACATTGATGTTGGATGAAAAACGTAGACTAGAAGCTAGAATAGCAACATTGGAAGAAGAATTAGAAGAAGAACAATCATATGCCGAATTACTAACAGATAAAGCTAGGAAAGCTCAAATAAGTATCGAGCAACTAACAAACGATTTAACAGCTGAAAGATCAACTACACAGAAATTGGAATCGCACAAATTGTTGTTAGAAAGGCAAAATAAAGAACTGAAAGCGAAACTTACAGAATTAGAAACTGCTCAAAGAGCAAAAACCAAAGCTACTATTCAACAATTAGAGTCAAAGATTAATAATCTTGATGAGCAATTAGAAACTGAAGCAAAAGAAAGATTTGCACAGCAAAAGATTAATAGAAAATTGGAGAAAAAACTAAAGGAATTGAGTTTACAGTTGGAAGACGAAAGAAGAAACTCAGATCAATATAAGGAACAAGCAGAAAAAGTAAATGCTAGAATGAAAGCTTTAAAGAGACAACTTGATGAAGCTGAAGAAGAAATTAGCAGGCATAAGGCAATGAAAAGGAAAGCGCAGAGAGAAATGGATGATATGCTTGAATCTCAAGAAGAATTAACCAGGGAGGTTGCAAATCTTAAAAATAAATTACGGTAAGTTTTCGTTGTTTTAAATAAATATATTTCAATCGTTCATTTTTTAAATTTCTTTTGCTTTATTCCTTTTATATTTCAAACTGTTTACTATTAGCTACAAACGTGAAGTCAAATATATAATATATAAAATAAACATATATGAATATATATGAATTAATAAATAGAAATATACATGAATTATGCAAAAGAGCATTTAATACTTTCATAAATAACAATAAATTTTCTGCTCTTGTGAAAAGCTTTCTTGCATAACTTATTTATCATAAAGAAGATAAATATATCAATTAATATACCGAGTAAAAAATTTTAATTCTTTGCTTTCGATTTACATTATTGGAAAGTAGTATGAAAATAAGAAATGACTATACATATTAAAATATTTAGGCATCGAGGGAAAAAGAATAGTTCATACCCCACATGAAAAAAACGGAAATTCTTCAAGTCTCAAGCATTCTTCGAGTCGTGGTTAGTCTATAAATTAATATTCTGAATTATATCATTTTTATGTATGCATATAGTTTAGATATATTTTAAAACAACAAAATGCTTTGTTACATATAAAATATAGATTATATTTAGCATTATGTTTTCTTATATTATTCTTATATAATACTATATATAGAGTATATATATATATAGAGAGAGACTATATATAGAATATATATATATAGTATTGTACATATATTATTAATTTTCATTTATTTTATTAATTGCATATTATTTTATAACGTATTCTTCTTCTCGATGTATTAATCCCATTAACATGTCTCAAAACTTATTTTCTATCATAAATTTTCTATCATTAATTTTATTATACATGTCATTCTTTAAAACACCAAGATATACATTTTTGTTTACATTTTTACTAACTTTTGTTTACATTTTAACTCTACTTATTTATTCGTTTTTCCTTATATACTTTTAAAAATATCTTAAAATATTTTAATTGATTTTAAAATGTTTGTCGCATAATTTGTTACTATTTTGATTATACGAATAATTCATTACTTGAGAAAAGGGTATGAGAATCATTTGTAGATAAGAACAACATTCAATTTTGGCAATTTAGAAATTATTTTATTTATTATTGTGAAACTTTCATCACCTTTCCCTATTCAACATCTAACAGTAAGATATTTGATTAAAACTGCTAAAAATATTTGCAGACGAGGTGGTCCTCCAATAAGCCTTAGTTCGACGCGTCTGAAACGCGGCTCTGTCCAAACCGGTGGATCCGGTGACGATTCGACGACACAGGACGAAAGTATTGATGGTGAGGAAACTGTCAACTGAACAAGAAAACACAGCACTTATTGAACCCTCACAATGCAGGAAATCCATAAAAATACCCAGGTCCAAGTGTATGCAAGATCCGTTTCGATCAAAATTGTGTTCGAATCGGAGAACTCATTTGTGTATGAGTTCAGAAATCGATTCCAATGCACCCAACGATGCCATTAGATGAGGGCGACGGCTTTCTTCTGTACATAAAAAACTCGACAGGGCCGTACCAACTAGTATTTTATCTCTGTTTCTTCCGGGACTCCATAAAAAATGGCGACTTTTTTCTGAAGACTTAAAGCAAGTCTTTCATACTTATTTATGATAAGCTAATTAACATTCTTTAACATTAATAAATAAATGGTAAAAGAAGGTTGTACAAGTGAATATAGAACTCTTTTGTTTTTAATAAGTTTAGTGTCCAAAGTATAAACTACAGAATATATTAATATATGGAATAATATGGAATGTATTAATGCTATGACGTATTAATAGTATTTAAATGCCATACTTTACATGCTTTGCATACACATTTATAATTGACATTCTTTCAATTATGTTTTATTACTTGAAGATTTTCGTCATTTTTTGTGGAATACGCTACCATTTCGTCGGGTAAGATTGAGACTAGAAATATATTATTGGGGCTGCATAATCGATAACGAATTAACACCGCATTTAGGCAGCATTAATATCTATTATAATTATATTATAGTTATTATTATATTAATTATTATTATATTGCCGCAGTTTTTATTTTTATCGCGAAAAATATCGTAATATGTTATTTGTAATTATTTTTAATAATGGAGCCAATGATGGACGATTCTAGGCATCGTTCCGAAAGATATAAGATTAATAGAATTTTCAAAAGGCTAAAATTTACTTTTTGTTGATCAAGATGTTGAAAAAAATTATTTTTAGAAAAACATACTATCAGCATCAAATCAAGCAAATAAGAATAAATCTAGACAGATAAACTTCTGAAGAAAAATTTATTCTATATTTTACAGAAGTTTCAAAACGATTCTAATAAAAAATCAAAGTTAATTGAACGATCAAAAGCTAAATAACATTTAAGAGAAACAAAAACTTACTTTTTATATCTGAATATTTTTTTAAAGAAAAAAAAATTCAGATATTGAATTTCGAAGTGAAGAAAAAAATAGTATTATTTCTTAAAAAAAAATTTTATTCTTTATATTTTGTTCGAATTTGTTAATAACTACTCTACTTGATTTTCTTTGAAGTAATCATTGTACAGTCAATTTTTTTGATTTCAACTTGTCTGTCGGAACGAACTAGATATCGATGATCGAGATTTATCAATTGGTACTTAGGGCCGATCATAGATCGAGAATTGTTTCGTTTCGTAGTATTCAATTTTAAATGCATCGAAAAATCTATGTATGCTTTCAAATTATTGTTTTTATAATGTGCATGAGTTTAAA